GAAATAAAATAGAAATAGAATGAAATATTATAAAAATAGTATAAAATAAATATGAATAATATAAAATAAATATGGATATGATTTATAAATCAATTATCCAATAAAAATTAACTATTAAAAATCATGTGATATGCTAAAATTCATATCACAATAATATATATATAACCACTTTTTAATTCTATCATTTGTATTAAATTTATTTTTATTTTATCTTTTATCATATCATCTATTAATTTTGAAAATATTTCACTGGAAATTCAACAATTGGTAATGGAATTACAAACAAAAATTCAACAATATTACCCAGAATATTAATTCATCATCGATCATAATGAACCACGTTTTATTATAGCTCCATCACTTTATGAAGAGATAAATAACAATAATGATGAAAATAGTAACTCAACATCATTAACTGAATTTAAAAGTCATACTATTAATGAACTTATTGACACAATGACTAATTCTGAGCAAACTGAGATATCTCCAACATATTTTTCTAATAAAGTTTCACTATTAATTTATTCTCAACTAAACAATATACTGAAACTGCTCTTTACTTTGAAATTGAATGAATTCTCAATGATCTAATCACTGGATTAATCATTACACAAATAATAACTGAAGTCAAATACTTGTTTAAGAAGAAAATCTCTTCACAAAATATTACAACAAAAGCGTTAACTGTTCTAAGAATTTATGACTACTTTAAAAATTTCTCTGGAGCATTGAATTACAAAAAGATTGATAAATATTTCAAACTGAGTCCAATTGGAAGACTGAACAAATAAAATAGTGATGAACTCAAAGAATAAATTGTTGAAATATTTAAACAAATAGCAATGAATTCAGAAGAGATAGATTTAGATAATATTTTAATTTAATTATTTTTATTTTTACTTTTATTTTTATTTTTATTTTTTTTTATTTTTTTTTATTTTATGAAGTAAAATACTTAATAATAAGAGTTCTGTTATGATTAAATATTTTTATAATTACAAATGATCATCTCACATGATTACTTTGAATAATCATTTCAAATAATCATTCTAACTGATCATCTCAAGCACTCTGAATGATCATTGCAAATGATCATTGCAAATGATTATTTCAAACACTCTGAATAATCATTCTAAATGATCATTTTATAATTATCAAATACTTATAAATACAACTTGTATCTTAGCTTAGAAATGTAACAATTAACAAGTCAGACAATTTAGTTTTAGTTTTAGTTTTTATTTTTTTAATAATTTTTTAGATAGCATTTTTATAACCTCTCATCTTAATTGCGAAATTATTCTTGTATTTGTTTTATAATTTCTCATCATTATTGCGAAGTTATATTATCTTATATATTTTTGTATTTGACCTCTCATCTATATTGTGAAGTCAATAATAATATCAAATTAATAAAGGAAAATTACATTTTACTTATTTATAAACTAAATTTAAAAGAAATATTCAACTTATTATAAATTAATTATAAAAGATACATAATTATCTTTGAATCTTTCTGGTCTCATTCTAGCTGACCAACAAAATGAACATATATTACCTACCTTTAGATAACTTAGTAAACTCTCCCAACTTAAAGTTATTTAATATGTTAACTCTTCTATCTGACTCTATCATGTGCATTCTCATAATAGAACCTAAAGTCATATTAAAATGATAACAATATTATATGACTTTTTATAATTTATTTTGATTAAATAATTTACATGTAATTTATAAATTATATTTATATTTATTTTATATTATTTATATTTTACTCATACTATTTTTATTATATTTCATACAATTTCATTTTTATTTTATATTATTTCATTCTATTTTTATTATATTTTATACTATTTTTATATTATTTTATTATATTTTATTCTATTTTATATTATCTTATTCTATATTAATTATAATTTATACTAATCATATTTAATCCATATTATTATTATTAGTATAAAAAACATGTATTAATTAATTTATATAATTAAATTTGATTGATATTAATGATAAAATTTATATAATATTAGAGTGAGCAATATATAATCATCAAGTGAGCAAGTAATATATAATTATCAAGCAAGCATTTTTTGTAATCTTAATATTAATCAAAAATAGCTTTAATATTTAAAGGTCAAGTAATAATAACTTGTATAAATATAACATGTATAAATATAATATATATTTTAGCTTAGAAAAATAATCTTTTTAGAATTAATCTTCTTATATTTTTATAATTATTCACTTTTGAATTTTATTCACTTTAATTTTTTTTTGACAAAATCTTCTTAAAAGTGAATCATATTATAAGTCTTGAGTTAGAGATTTTTAGTCAAGTATTAATTATCTCTTTTTTTCTTATTTATATTCTTTTATATCTAAAAGATCTCTTGTCTGTAACAAGTAATGTCATTTATAATAATATAATTAACCTCTTGTTACTACTCTGTGAAGTTGATTAATATTATTTAGATTTATAATAAAAAAAGATAATTTTATTAAAAAGTTAATCAATAAAAAAAGATTGCTTAATAACTAAATTATTTGAATTAAAAGAAAATTTCTGAACTCATTTTAACAGTTCAACAAAATGAATATATTGTTATATATCTTTATTAAATTAGTCTCTTTTAATTTTAATTATTTTAAATACATAAAAATCTTTAATAACTTTTTCACTTAATTAAAATACTTGAAGAATATGTGATTTATATTTAAAAAATAATAAAACTAACAGAATAATAACAATACAATTCTTGAATTAATATTATAGTAACTTAAGTATGTTTGTCAGGAGCACTATAAAAGTTATCATTTTAATACTAAGTTATCTGAATATATTATGATAAAACTTATTGAATATTATATTAAATAAAGGAATTATTATTATAAATTATAAATTTATCTTTGAGATTATATATATTACTTATAAATTTATCTTTAATCTTGTATTGCTAATAATATATTATTCATCTTTGATCTTATATTGCTGATAATACAAATACTATAATTTCTATAACTTTAACTTCAAGATTTTGAGAACTTTTTCTAGCTGTTTAAATTATTGTATTTAAAGAACACAACTATTATTAATCTTTAAGTGATTTTGTCACTAGTACTTTTAGTACTTATTCACATTCAGTCTAATAGTTATAAAGTATTATTAATACTTTGAATTATTATTAAGATATTAAAAGTTCTCTTTGAATATTTCTTTAATTTTTATAAATATCTTTGAGTATTTCAAAAGTCAATCAAAATAGTAATAATATTATTTTAATTAGTTATATACTACAACTTTAAATAAATAGTTGAGTATATTAATTTTATTAATATTTTTATTATTTTAATTAGTATTACTATTTTTATTTAATATTAATAGATGTGAATATAATAGTTTTGCAATTAATATTTTATTAATTAATAATTTTTCTTTAATTATTTTATCCTTTCAAATATTTTATTTCTTTATATATGAAATTATTTAATATTTTATATAGAAATTGGCACAAATATTAGATATTTATTTTCACTAACTTTAATTATTCTAATTTATTCTCTTTTATATTCTTATATAATTATTAATACTAAAAGTGAAGAAATTCTTTATTATTATATATTATTAATAATATATTGTTAAATAATAAAAATTCATTTTTTAATTTCATAATTTTATAGAATTATATAAATTTAATATATTTTATAATTATAATTATTTTTATTTGCAAATAACATAAATTATTTCACTTTTTATTTTATTTTTAGTTATTTATTAAATTATAAATATTCAAAACTTTACTATATTACTATTTTCAACTAAATTTTATGGAATTTTCTATTAAATTTCATGAGTTATTTTAGCTATAATAATTTATATAAATCATTTGTAATATCTTTTTAACATTCAAAATATATAAATAAAGATAATTTTTTATCTTGTATCAATAAGTTAAAAATGAATAAAGTATTTATAATATACTTCAGCTTTGATCTTTTTTTAGTATTTCTCTTTATATCAATAAATTTAGACATATATTTTATTCATTTGTCTAATTTTCTCTCCCAACTCTTGTTCACATTTATTAGCTAATTTCACAATTAATGAAAAATATGTAATAATATTATCTAAAGTCATCAAATATTTATATATATAAAATTCTCAACTAAAAAGTAAATTCAAAATTTAATTCATAAATATGGTAAAATATGCTTTTCTTTATCATATTTATGAATTAAATTTTGAATTTATTTCTTAATTAAGAAGTTTATACAGTTTACAAAAACAAGTCATACGTTTATGAAAAATTGCTGAAGATTTAATAAGCAACTATTGAATGACAATAAAAAGTAAAATTTGCAAGAACAGTTAAAAATTTATTAATATTCTTCTTTGATCCTTAGAACAGCAAAAAACTATATTACGTATATTTTTAGCCGATACATTTTATCATCCAGTAAATAGAGTATTTTGGCTAGTTTTTGACGAGGATTTTTATGGCAGTAATAGATAAAAACAAGTTTATCATTCTCAGCGGGAGAAATAAATCTCACTGTGGTCATAACCAAAGAAAAGATTGGAATTTGCTAATGGGCTAATTCATGAGCAATAACATTGATTAGCTTCTTTTGGACCAAACTACTTGATAAATTTTAATGCACTGTATTTATTAATTTTATAATTTCTAGTATTTAACAAAAAATAATGGATCAAAACCAAATTTTCAAGATCGCATTTTGTATATTACGTACCGGTACATGCAATGATTGGTGATTTCAAAAAAAATATCATATACGAATCCCCTAATAAATAGTTCAGATTAAATACAAAGCATTGAGATATTATAACCTAGCATCTTTAATTACGTATAACTATTTATTTGCTAACAAGACAAAAAAATAGGTTTGTCAACAGATTATTCTTTACAAAATTAATCTAGTCGTACATTAAAGAAAAAAGAAGCTCAATACAAGTGTGTATGTCTATCTAAACAGTATCAATGACCGGCTGCGCACAAAGACACATTTTACAACACGAACGGGCACTGGTTATCACTATTGGGACAATGGCGGTATTGTCTGTGATAGGCGGACCTAGAAATCTAACTGGAGCCGCGGATATATTGAGAACGCAGACCGACAATACAGCGAGTGAAAGTAAAATAGTTTTCATTTTCTTTATTGGTGTAAGTAACTTTAATATCTGATATTTCGATTTTTGTACTTGAATAAAAATGCTTTTCTAATATTGTGGGTTTTTGTATTGGGAGGATTAGCGTTAGCGTTGGATAACAATAATAATAACGATAAGTTTAAATACGTTCTCACACACAGGTTTCCAAATATCATTCGTTAATATTTATATATATTTAGGTAACACTGGGGTGTACATAGATGCTTCCAATATTAACGAATGATATTTGGATGTACACTAACCATATCAAGATTTTATATTGTCAAATTCCAATATGGTTAGTATGTTTTCGGAAAATTCTACAGTAATAAAGATTAATGTTAAAGTTGGCTTTAAGATTAGGGTTAAGGTTAGGGTTAGA